GGGGGAGTAGATTTGTACACGCACAGCTTCACAGGTGTGATGAGGCCCTAAAAAAAATCTGATTTTTCTAAGATTGTACACGCACAGCTTCACAGTGTGATGAGGCCTAAAAAAAAATCTGGATTTTTCTAAGATTGTACACGCACAGCTTCACAGGTGTGATGAGGCCTAAAAAAAAAATCTGATTTTTCAAGATTGTACACGCACAGCTTCACAGGTGTGATGAGGCCTAAAAAAAAAATCTGTATTTTCCCAGATTGTACACGCACAGCTTCACAGGTGGGATGAGGGCCTAAAAAAAAATCTGATTTTTCTAAGATTGTACACGCACAGCTTCACAGGTGTGATGAGGCCTAAAAAAAAAATCTGATTTTTCTAAGATTGTACACGCACAGCTTCACAGGGTGTGATGGAGGCCTAAAAAAAAATCTGATTTTTCTAAGATTGTACACGCACAGCTTCACAGTGTGATGAGGCCTAAAAAAAAAATCTGATTTTTCCAAGGTTGTACACGCACAGCTTCACAGGTGTGATGGAGGCCTAAAAAAAAAATCTGATTTTTCCAAGATTGTACACGCCACAGGCTTCACGGTGGATGAGGCCTAAAAGAAAAATCTGATTTTTCCAAGATTGTACACGCACAGCTTCACAGGTGTGATGAGGCCTAAAAAAAAATCTGATTTTTCCAAGATTGTACACGCACAGCTTCACAGGTGTGATGAGGCCTAAAAATAAAAATCTGATTTTTTCTAAGTTGTACACGCACAGCTTCACAGTGTGATGAGGCCTAAAAAAAAAATCTGATTTTTTCTAAGATTGTACACGCACAGCTTCACAGGTGTGATGAGGCCTTCTCTTCCAGGGAAAGAAGGAATTCCAGGTGTCCCTCTTCCAGACACTGGTGCTCCTCATGTTCAACGAGGGAGATGGCTTCAGCTTTGAGGAGATAAAAATGGCCACGGGGATAGGTATGAAAACCGCAGAGTGCATGGCTCCATGAGTGGTTCTTAACGCATGTGTTTGTTTTAAGATAAGACATAGACTTGGTAGCATGATTTGTTTACTGTTGTTGAGTCTCATTCATGTAAAGCCAATCTCTGCGTTTGCTTCCCCTTCAGAGGATAGTGAATTGCGCAGAACGCTGCAGTCCCTGGCCTGTGGCAAAGCGCGTGTGCTGATTAAAAGTCCCAAAGGAAAGGAAGTGGAAGACGGAGACAAGTTCATTTTTAATGGAGAGTTCAAGCACAAGTTGTTTAGAATAAAGATCAATCAAATTCAGATGAAGGAAACTGTACGTATAAACTTTCTCTTTTTACTTATAGGGTGTTTAGCAAGGAGTCATTTGTTTTTGTAGTAATGTTTTTGACTGTTGTTAGAGGCCTGAAGCACATTTCTAAGATAATCTAATTGGGTTATGTAATGTTTATAAGAGTACTCATTTTCACGTCACTTTCATTAACTTTACATTCTCAGTAGGAAAGAAAATCAGATAAAAAGCCACTTAATGTTACTCCTATTCACAGATAAATTGTGTGCTAAGCCAGAACTTCCCGTGGTCATAGGGTTTCGAAAATTATCCACACTTTCTATGGTAATAGAATCTGATATGGTTCACTCGTGGTGGTGTGCGTTCTGTGGGTCTGGATAAATGTATAATGTTATGTATCTAGCATTATAGGATCATACAGGAGTTTCATTGCCCAAAAAACTCTCTTACGTTCTGTCACTGTATCCCTGTCTCCCTCTGAGCCCCTGGCAACCCCTGACCCTGTCACCGTCACCATAGTTTTGCCCTTTCCTGAGTGCCATACAGTTGGAGTCATAGTGTGTAGCCTTTTCAGATTGGCTTCTTTTATTTAGCAGAATGCATTTAAGGTTCACCATGTCTTTTCATGGCTGGGTAACTCTGCTTTTGGCACTGAAGGATTCTCCATTATCTGGATGCATCACAACTTATCCGTTCACCTACTGAAGGACATCTGGTTGCCTCCAACTTTTGGTGATGATGACTAAAGCTGCTATAAACATTTCTGTGCAGGTTTTAACTCCTTTGAGGATGCAACTTTTATAGTGGGCAAAAGTGAGAAGGTCTCTCAGTTCCTTCTCCTCAAGATAACCACTATTGCCCTTTTTGTTTGTGGTCACAGCCTTATCCTTGCACAAGTTATTTGAATTATCACCTTATTATGTATCAAATTCATATAGGTCAGTTTCTCAATTCTCTTCTATAAATTCTGTATCTATTTTTTAATTGCTCTTCAAGTCATGCACATTTGTTATAGTGTTCTTTCTCTTACGGATTAGGTGGTTTTCTTTATCTGGGGTCACTGTATATATGGCGCCTGTCAGGGCCTTGTGTAGCCAGTTTTCGTGCTGATCACAGTCTTCTCCTGGCCAGGACTTGTTGCAGGAGCAGAGTGCCGGTTGTGTAGACCCACCAGGGCTGGCAGTGCCCTCGGCCACAGGCTCTAACATTCCTCCACCGCCCCTCCTGAAAATAAGATTACGTTGAACACCCTGGCACAGACATTTCTGTGCACTTGTTAGATGGTTTCTTTAGTGTGATCATTGCTCTGGAGCTGCTGGGTAAAATAATGTGTCCTTTTCTTAGTTTGACTTCTCTTTTCCAAGTTGAAGTCTGGCAGATTTCACCCGAGCACAGTGTCTGCCCCCACCTCCACCTGTCCTCCCTGTTCCCAGCAGCCCAGAGATCGTTTGTTGCCGTTTTCATTTTGATTTCTGATTTCTTTCAGCATCTTTCTACCACTCTGTAGTTTATACAAATTATATAATCTTTCTAATGCTCCATTTCTCATATTTAAAATAGACATACTACTACCTCAAGTTGTGAGAATTAAATGAATTGTTTGCCACACAGCTGTAAGCACTTCATAAATGTTGATGTCGATTTTTATGCTTAGCCATTTGTATTTTTCTTTTTTTAATTGCTCTTCAAGTCATGCACATTTGTTATAGTGTTCTTTCTCTTACGGATTAGGTGGTTTTCTTTATATATTAAGGAGGTACAATCTCGGCTCACTGCAACCTCCGTCTCCCAGGTTCAAGCGATTCTCCTGTCTCAGCCTCTCGAGTAGCTGGGACTATAGGCACGTGCCACCACACTCAGCTAAGTTTCGTATTTTTAGTAGAGATGGGGTTTTACCGTGTTGGCCAGGCTGGTCTCGAGCTCCTGACCTCAGGTGAGTCACCCATGGCCCCCCAAGGTGGTGAGATTACAGGCGTGAGCCACCATGTCCAGCCTGCTTTGTCATTTTTGACAGATAATTTTGTTGTTCTTAGTGGGTTTTTTTTCACATAACAGTTTTTAAGTTCTCAAATATAGTCTCCTTTTCTTTTATGGTTTCTGACTTAATGTGTAATGCTGTATTAGGCCATTCTTGTATTGCTATAAGGAAATACCTGAAACTGGGTAATTTATAAAGAAGAGAAGTTTAATTGGCTCAGGGTTCGGCAGGCTGTGGGAAGCATGGCACCAGCATCACCTCAGCTTCTAATGAGGCGTCAGGAAGTTTCTAATCATGGCGGAAGGTGCAAGGGGAGCAGGTGTCTCACATGGCAAAAGCATGAGCAAGGACAGGGAGGGAGGTGCCCAACATGTTTAAATGACCAGATCTCACTACCAAGGAGGGCGGCCCAAGCCATTCGTGGGACCTGCCCCCATGTCCCAGTCACCTCCCACCAGGCCCCATCTCTAACACTGGAGACCACATTTCAGCATGAGATTTGGAGGGGACACATATTCAAAACCATATCACAGACCTAAGAGAGAAATTCCCTTAATCAGATTTTTAAAAAACATTTCTACTATGTTATTTTTCTAGAAGTTTTTACATTTAAATCTTTATTTTCATGTTGCAGAAATTATTTTAGTATCTGAAAACAGTCTAATTACCCCCATCCTTTCCAAAACCAAATTTGAAATGTCATCCTTGCACAAGTTATTTGAATTATCACCTTATTATGTATCAAATTCATATAGGTCAGTTTCTCAGTTCTCTTCTATAAATTCTGTATCTATTTCATAGCCAGCCATTTGTTTTGTTTTGTTTTTTGAGACAGTGTCGCCCAGGCTGGTGTGCAGTAGTGTGATCATAGCTCATTGCAGCCTCAACCTCTTGGGCTCAAGCGATCCTTCCACCTCAGCCTCAGGCATGTGCCACCGCGCCCAGCTAATTTTTTGTATTTTTTGTAGAGATGAGGCCTTGCCATCTTACCCAGGCTGGTCTTGAACTCCTGGGCTCAAGCAATCCTCCTACATTGACGCCCCAAATTACTGGGATTACAGCCGTGAGCCACCACGCCTGGCACAAGGTTCTTTTAATTAATGTAGCTGTTCCTATAACTTTATTCTTCCAGTGAACTTCACAATAATTATATCATGCCTTTACTCCCCCAAATAAGAACATTGACATTTTTAATCCATATTGCATTAAATTAATTTGCAGAGGTTTTATCTTTGTCATATTAAATCTTCTGATTCATACATATGTGTGTATATATAAATATATACAAATGTTTTCTCTTTCTCAGAACTTCCTAGTTTTCTTCTGTAAGTCTTGCATATTTCTTGCTAGTCATAAATTTTCATTCATTCAACAAATAACTTATTGATCATCTGTGGTGGCCCAGGTCCTCTGAAGCACTGAGAATTCATCCATTAACAATAAAGAATAAGTCTTTGTTTCTAGGAGTGTTCTGTCTTTTCCAGCAGAGAGGTAGCAGAGGGTCACAGACATTGACTAACTTGTAAGAGTGGAGGAAAATGTTAGGATAGAGAAGTGCAGGAGAGTCCAATTAAATACTGTCGTCAGCAAACGCTTTCCTGAATAAGTGACTAGCTTTGCTCAGGAACTGAAAGAAGGCCTCGGCTGCAGCGTCACTGCCAAAAGGGGAAGCGAGCCACACAGGCCTGATCAGGCAGCCACAGCCGGACCCTCTGAAGATGGCTCAGACCCGTGAAGCATTTGGAAAACCACTAGAGTTGTAAGCAAGACAGTCTAATGAAATGCTGATACCTTATAAAGGGGACCTTTTTTCTTTACATTTCTGATGGTTTTTATCAGAATGTGTGTATTAATGCATTTGTCTTTGTATATTTATTTTATTTCCAGCCACTTTACAAAACTCTTTAGCTTTGAAAGTTTTTCTCTTGATTTTCTTGGATTTTCCAGCTCAGCTACAAATAATGATCGTTTTGTCTGCACCTTTTCGATATACCTCGTTAGTCTGTTCTTGTATTGCATAGTTAGAACCTCTAATGTTTTTAAGGAATAGCAGTACTGCTAAGCTTCCTAATTTTATCTCTAGTTCAGAGGGTATTAACTTTTTGGGGGTCATGGATCCTGTTGAAAATGTGGTGAAAGCGTGGAGTCTCTCCCATCCTGAAGCATACTTGCCTCATATGTATGCATGGACCTTCCGCCAACCCTCATTTCAACTGCAGATCCCCATCAGGTTCCTATTTGACTAAGATTAAGTTGTCTCTAGTATTTGCTGTTTGTTTCTGATAACCATGTTTTATCATGTTCAGATTCTTTCCTTTTTTATTCATCCTTGTATGCTAATATTTGTTTTAAATCAAAAAATCAATTTTCAATTTTATCATGCCTTTTCAACATCTATCTAGATGGTCATATAATCTAACCTTTCAGCTGTTACAATGCTGTCACTTATATTCACAGATTTCCTAATGTTGATCAACACTTACATTTCTGGAGTATATCCTGGTGGTCATTATGCTTTGTTTTGTTTACTGTGCTGCTAGTTTTAATCTACATCATACATAGAGTTGTTACAGCTTTCTTATAAGGAAAATAACTTTTAAAAATATTTTTCAAGTTTTGATTTTGGAGTTTTGCTATTCTGGGAATGTACATTTTACTAGAACAAATAAACATGCTTAATAAAGTAGGATTCATCCAATGTCTGACCTTTCTTTGCATCAGAAAAACATTTCTCATCAAATTTGGTAACATCAAATCATTAATATTGAAATATAGACCAGGCGTGGTGGCTCATGCCTGTAATCCCAACACTTTGGGAGGCCAAAGTGGGCCAATCACCTGAGATCAGGAGTTCAAAACCAGCCTGGCCAACATAGTGAAACCCTGCCTCTACAAAAATACAAAAAGTAGCCAGGCATGACAGTGGGTACCTGTAATCCCAGCTACTCGGGAGGCTGAGGCGAGAGAATCGCTTGATCCCAGGAGGCGGAGGTTGCAGTGAGCCGAGATCATGCCATTGCACTCTAGCTCAGACGACTTAGTGAGACTCCGTCTCAAAAAAAAAATAAAGAAAAAGAAAATATATCTTTACACTTAACTTTTTTTGTTGTTTTTTGTACAGGTTGAGGAACAAGTTAGCACCACTGAGCGAGTGTTTCAGGATAGACAATACCAGATTGATGCTGCTATCGTCAGAATAATGAAGATGAGAAAGACTCTTGGTCATAATCTTCTAGTTTCTGAATTATATAATCAGCTGAAATTTCCAGTAAAGGTAAATGTAACATTAGCATAATTAAATTTGTAGTATTTGCTAAACAAGTGACAAAGCATGTTTAATTCTCACTATGTTCAGTCATATCATTTGACCTGCATTATTCATGATCATTTGTGTATACACTGAATGTAAAAAACTGGCAAATGTGAAGCTCTTTATTCCAGGTGTTGTTCATCACTGCTGTAGAAATGATAGAGCCCTGAAACTGTCCTTCCCAGGGATGGCGCGTGCTTCTTCATATTTTCAGGAAGAGAAGAGGTAGATGGGACGTGGAAAGCCGAACACTTTTCTCATAGTAGTAGCTGTCAGGGTTACGTCACAATATTTTAGGGAAATGATAACAATAACTAATTTATTCAGCGTTTACAGGCTATACCGCGTTTTCCACCACGGTAATAATAGTGCACTGTTGCTGCTGCTTATGAAAGTCAGCCCAGACCTGTCAACCCACGTTGTGTTTTCAGAACTGAGATTTACTGTCCTACTACGTGTGAGATGCAGGATAAGCCGGGAAAGTATTATGAAATGTTTTTTACACGTATTTATCAACCCAGGAAATACTGAACTCTGATGACGCCTGGCCTCTCAGGAACTGGACCAGCCACACCTGCTTTGGAGGGAAAGTCCCCAGATTCCATGTTGTGCAGTTTGAGCCTCCCATTCTATCAAGGGAATAAAGTTGAGATGCACTAAATAGTCGAACACTTAAGAGTCTGGTGGAAGTGCCACTGTCCATCAGCCCGCATTTGCCCCCTTCCCTGCAGAGGTGAGGTGCCATCCTCAGGGCCCTGCACAGCTCCAGAGCACCGTCAGGGAAACTGCCCCTTCCTCCCACCACTGCAAACAACCAGGCTCAGCACAAAGCGGAAGGCGAGCAAGGGTGGAGTGTGGCCAACCAGGGCGCCCGCTCTGCTGTCATGGTTAGTTGGGTTTTCAGCCACATCTTTTTTTTTGAGACGGAGTCTTGCTGTCCCCCAGGATGGAGTGCAGTGGCGCGATCTTGGCTCACTGTAACCTCTGCCTCCCAGGTTCAAGCAATTCTCCTGCCTCAGCCTCCTGAGTAGCTGGGATTACAGGCACCTGCCACCACACCCGGCTGAATTTGTATTTTTAGTAGAGAGGGGGTTTCACCATGTGGTCAGGCTGGTCTCAAACTCCTGACCTTGTGATCTACCTGCCTCGGCTTCCCAAAGTGCTGGGATTACAGGCGTGAGCCACTACGCCAGCCTCAGCCACATCTTGTAAAATGTGTGGCTTACGGCTGAATAGAAGGTTAAGTTTGTTTGGAAAATAGAGGGTCTCCCTTGTATAGGGAGAGCCTTGCACATAAGTGTTCACACAGATTTGCTTCCTAATATAGCAGAGCTGGAGTGGCTGTTCCCTCTGGGCAGAGACGAGCTATGGCTGTGGATTCGTCTACTCAGTCACCTACTTTTAGTGCAGGAACACTTGGGATTGTAGTTTCACTTACATAGACATGGCATGGCAATAACAATATAAATACATAAGAGTGAAAATACAGGCTGGGTACACTGCCTCACGTCAGTGACCCCAGCACTTTTGCAGCTGAGGCAGGCGGATTGATTGAGCCCAGGAATTTGAGACCAGCCTGGACAACATAGTAAGACCCCTTCTCTACAAAAAATAAAGTTAGCCAGGCCTGGTGGTGTGCAGCCCGTGGTGCCAGCTACTGGGGAGGCTGAAGCACGAAGATTGCTTGAGTCCAGGAGGTGGAGGCTGCAGTGAGCTGAGATCACACCACTGCACTCCAGCCTGGGCAGCAAAATGAGACCCCATAAAATACAGTACTTAGGCAGAAGCATCCTTACAAAGGATAAAAGTGTCCCAAGAAGACATGATGAGATTTTCCTTTCTAAAAACAAAAATGTGTTGTGATCGGGTCTGCCTTGCTTATGTGCTCTTACTGATGGCAGATGATGTATGTACATTTCACAAATTTCACATTTCCCTCAGGAAGCCACGCTCTGACCATAAACTCACATAGACACTTTTTTTTAATCAAGAGATAACGTTAACTTTGTCTTTGAAATAGAAAGTTTTATTCATTTTATAAATATGTGTATAATTATAAATGATTTTCATATAAATATCTATTTGTATATATATATTTCTGTAATTATAGTTATATACTTCATGCATATACCCCTTGTTTGTAAACATCTGTAAATTTAATGCCACTATAATTAGGGGCATTTCATTTTTCTTTTTTAGCCTGGAGATTTGAAAAAGAGAATTGAATCTCTGATAGACAGAGACTATATGGAGAGAGACAAAGACAATCCGAATCAGTACCACTACGTGGCCTGACGCATCTGCAGACGGTTCCCCTTCAGGAAACACTAGAATGTACCCTCAGAGCAGGAAGCACACCTGTGCCATTTCTGGGACTCTGATTGATCCAGCTGTGGACATTGGAAGGCGAAGGAAGGGAGTTGGCTCCTGGGTCATCCTTCACAAGGCTCAAGACTTCAACCGGCAGATGTATCTTTTTCCCTCCAGTTTTTCCTCTAGTTCTTTTAGGCATTTAAATTGTTTCTGTTACTCTGTGCAAAATAACTTTGAGATTGGACAAGAAGATACTGCTAAAGAGAAGTTCCTTTAAAAGGTCTTGTTCTTGTGTCAAAAAGCTGAAAGTTTGGTTTGTTCTTGTGTGTGATCATGAATGCACAATGAAGAAGACCCTAGATGCTGCATTTTTTAGCTCTGAAGATTCCTTAGGTATCCCTGAAGACAGCTCGCTCAGATGACCAGCATTTAGAGTGAAAACAAGGGCCTTTCGTGGGTGAGCATGAGAAAGAGCCAGGGTTCAAAGCTGGCGAATGGATGGTGCATCCTAGCCACTGGCCTCTCTGTGTTTCCTGTATTTCCAAAAGTGATAAATTTGATGGCTGATTTTTTGTAAGTCAGGTTTCTCAGTGAGCTCCCTGACGTGCCAAGGCCATGGTGTCCGCCCTGCTGCGTCTGTTCGTTTCAGCTGAGTTGCTTGTGAATCTCTGTTTTAGGGTTTGGGGCTAGCGTGTTTGTGTTTCCATTCTAAGATTGAGTCTGGCAGTTCCTGTTTTTTTGCATTGGGGTAACTGCTCTTTGATTTTTTTTAATTGCAGTATTTGTATGATTGCAATAATAAAGTTTGGTTTGGTTTTTACAGTCATGCGCAGGGATGATCCTTGTTCTCTGCTGTAAACTGTAAAAAGTTTATGGAGACTTAAAGTCTTGATGTTGTGAAGCAGAGGTTATTTTGTGGAAAGATTAAAAGGATTTTGTTGGTACCTGGTTTTGTGTTGTGTATATATACATGAGGTTGAACAGTGAAAGGAAAGTTCAGTAGTGATGTTAGAAGGGTAACTATGACAAAGATACTTTTGAGATAACATTTAAAAGTACTTTATATTTTACATAATAGCATGTTTCATTTTGATTAAAAGCTACCAAAGGAATTTTGATCATGGCCTAAGTGTTTAAAGCAATATTTTCTGGAATATACCGAGTTTATATAATTTGATTTTGTGCTAAATTATTAAAAGAGTCTCTTTTTGAAACATGCGGGTGGGTTTCCATATTAAAATCCTCACTCTTTAATAGTCATTTCTATCTCTGAGAATTTTCATTTATGAGTTCCATGATATGTGGTCTAAGAAAGACCAAACAGATTTCTATTTTTATTTCTTATATTTTAAGTTCGTTGTGTCTAGAGATTGTTAATATTGTAATTTAATGTAGACTTACTTTGAATAAAATTAGTTTAATTGGCCTTAAAATTACATTAATAAAACTTTGTGATATGCAAACGACACATTCTTCATAACTCTTTAGCAGCTTTGACTACTAGTGCACTAGGCAGAAGTCGGAGCAGGGAGCACCTGTCCCCTCTCAAGTGATGATTCTTTGCTGGCCACCTCTACCACAAAATACCAGTGAGGCCAGGTAGTGACAAATGGGTCTTTTTTACCTGGATGATTCGTTGTGCTGTGCCTTTAATTTGTTGCATTTGGGCACAGTGGCTCATGCCTGTGATCCCAACTAGGAGGGCAAGATGGGAGGATCGTTTGAGCCCGAGTTCTAGACCATCCTGGGCACCATAGGGAGATCCTGTTTCCATTTTAGTTTATTTATGTGTTTTTTGTTTTTTGTTTTTTTTGAGACGGAGTCTCGCTGTGTTGCCCAGGCTGGAGTGCAGTGGCTGGATCTCAGCTCACTGCAAGCTCCGCCTCCTGGGTTTACGCCATTCTCCTGCCTCAGCCTCCCGAGTAGCTGGGACTACAGGCACCTGCCACCACGCCCGGCTAGTTTTTTGTATTTTTAGTAGAGATGGGGTTTCACCGAGTTAGCCAGGATGGTCTCGATCTCCTGACCTCGTGATCCACCCGCCTCGGCCTCCCAAAGTGCTAGGATTACAGGCTTGAGCCACCACGCCCGGCGTGTTTGTTTATTTTTAATTGAGGTGGAGTCTCGCTCTGTTGCCCAAGCTGGAGTGCAATGGTGCAATCTCAGCTCACTGCACCCTCCGCCTCCTGGGTTCAAGCAATTCTCCAACCTCAGTCTCCCCAGTAGCAGGGTTTAGAGGCACCTGCCGTCATGCCTGGCTAATATTTGTATTTTTTGTAGAGATGGGGTTTCACAATGTTGGCCAGGCTGGTCTTGAAACTCCTAACTTCCAGGTATCTGCCTGCCTCGGCCTCCCAAAGTGCTGGATTACAGGCGTGAGCTATTGCGCCCGGCCTGCCTATTTCTGTTTATAAA